ATCTGCCCGGGTTTCGAATCCCGCGGCCGGTAGACCGTAGATTAGCTATGCTTGTACGGAGGATTGGCACCCTCTGTGCAGGTATGGTAGGGTGGAAGAATGTTGGCTTGGGTCAATGTGAGAGATTGACACCGGTTGGCATTTGACCACCCCCCTAATTAATGAGGTTTTCCAGGTTTCCCTCATTCATGCACTGAATGGTGGTTAGGGCCTACCACATAAGTCGTTCCTGGGCGCAAATGCGGCCTGTTTAATAATAATATGCCGCCTCCTCTCCTGCACAAGTCTTCGACTTCTGGGCTAATTCTCGTGGTTAGAATGAGGAGTAGAGATATTATTATTATTATTATCTTTTTTCAATATTTTTTATATCTTGTTGCCTTTTACGCAGACACGCCAATGGATTTTCGTTCCCGGCACACTTCATCCCCATTAGTCCAAAAGCTAGCGATGAGTCACTCTATATAATTTCGACCGCGGAGTATAAGTCAATTTGATGGAATTTTTAAGAAAATATTTTGAATTCATTTGAAATAACTTAATATCTGTAAAATGAAGTAAAAATACAAGAGCTAATAATAAAGTAGGTATATATTTAGACTCAGTATTTATTTATCAAGGCTTTAAATTTAATGAATAAAAAAATGTATTATACAGGATGGCTGAATAATTTACAGGTTGGTTGTCACTTCATTGGTGTAAACTTCTTGACGTTTCGAGAGATATCTCTCTCTTTTTGAAAAGAAACTGTTACACTGGAGATTAAACCCTCTGGTTGGTACTTATATCTGTTGTTTGGGAGATAAATTTATCAGACGGTGCAAAGACCGTCTCTTAGTGAAATATATCACAAATATTGATCGAAGTACTTTATGGTCTCTTAAATTTTTAAAAAATCGGACACCCTGTATATAAATAAAAAAAATATAGTATTATTTAGTGCTGGCAACTGAAATCGGTTTTTTGGATAGTCGATTAACCGGTTTAGGAAAATTTCGATTTTTACGAAACCTGAAAACCGGTTATTCGATTCTTCAAATATCTGGTTATTCAAATAACTGATTATTCAATAACAGTGGCGGTTTTACCATAAGAGCTGCGGAGCTGCAGAACACATAAAATTTTATGTATTTAATCATATTAAATATCAACAAAATATTTAAAGAATCCAAATGTACTCGCGCTAAAATAAATCTAGGAGCTTATATTATTATTTATTGCGACGCGAGCTACGCTCCTTAATATATGCAACCTCATATACACAATGTGTGGACAGCGAACAATTATATGCGTCCTTTGTTTTTATTGGCTGATCAGGCACGTGACCCAGTACACGGAGATAGGGGCTTTTGCGGCTGCAATAGTGACAGCCACTGCGCTGCAGTCTGCAGTAAATGCAGTAATATTTCGTACGTGGTATGTGGTGGTTTATTTCTGCGAGCGGCACGTGTGAATATTTTCGTTTAGGCGTCTACGGATATTATAGTTATTAAAATGAATAGCGTTTCGTTTAAAAAAAAACTTTATTTGGTTCTCTGCCTTATGAGGATAAACTAAAAATAAAAGAAGTAAAAGTTATAAAAAAACAATAATGTATACACAAAAGCAGAGTGGGTGTGCGGGTGTGATTTAAAATATTCACTGTTTTGTTTTCCGTGCTTACTTTTCGGTGGGGATAAAGCATGGACAATATACAGTGTGAAAGATTTAAGTCATTACGTCTTTAGGTAAAATAAACATAAGAAGTCAGTTAGATTCTGCATATTGGGATAATATACGGAAACATATGAACAGGTAATGAAAAATCGTCATGTATTATTTAAAATCATAGATTGCATAAAATTTTGCGGAGCTTTCGAATTAGCACTTCTCGGACACGACGAGACAGAAAATTCGGACAACCCTGATGTGTTTCGTGGACTCATAAATTTTAGTGTAGATCTTGACGACATTTTAAAAGAACATCTAGCCACATTGGTATGACCGGGATTTTCTGTGATTGTACCGGGAATTAGCTGTATGGTCCCGGATTTCGGATTTGCACGTATAACTCCCGGAATATAATATAATGTACATATATATAAAAAAAGATAAAGAAAAAATCATAACACGCCGAGGAAAATTAAAATTCGTTGAATCGTTGGTAAATTTCACAAACGATTTTTTTTTTTAAACAATATTCAATAATTTAATAAAATATATTTAGTTTATTCCAATTTATTATACCATCAGTAGGTAATTCGTAAATGGATATTTCAAAAAGGTATCAATTTCAAAAATCATCCTTGTGAAAATCTGTATTTTTTTTATAAATTCATTGTTCCTTGAAATTCAGAAGTGCCAGGAAAACGCGTGACCTTGAAAATTTTAAAATTTTTCGCCTGCGGCGCCATTTAGAGACTCCAGACACTTAATATCCCGGAATTCATTTCAACAAATCCCTAACCCTAAGCAGAACACATTCAATCAATGTTCACGCGCCGCCACTGTTCAATAATATGTTCATTCAAATATCAGAATAATCAGATTCTTTCTTTATAGACAATAACTATATAACACTATAATATAGTCTTAATGTTATGTAGTTATTGACATTGGCTACATAGTAGATATGTACTACAAAAATTAGGTGAAACTCTTAAGGGAAATACAATTTATTTTTATATTTTATCCTGGGATAAAAAAAACAATCACCCACACCCACATACATCAAACATCAAACAACCAAACCCATTTATATAAATAATAAATTGAAGAACCACAGTTTATTAGGTGTAACTGTTTTAACATTAAAATTTAAAATATGTGAATACATGAATAACATACATCCCGTCACTTTTTCAAAACACCGAATTTCAGAAATCCGGTTTTAACCATGATTCGATTAACAGGTTATTCGAATAACAGGGTTTAGAATATTTGGTTTTAACCACTATTCGGCTAATCGGTTTCACCTGAAATCAGTTTTTACGGAACCCGGTTAACTGGTTTAACTTTTTTCCGGTTTTTGCCAGCACTAGTATTATTTATACAGTAATATGGAAGAAAATTTTATAAACAATGATGTATTGTCATCAGTCTACAAGCAAAAAATGTTTTCCCGAAGTTTGGGATACACTGTATAATAAACTATCTTTATATTTTAATACTTGTTCCTAAAGTTTGAAAACAAAAAAAAATTCTGTATGCAGTGTTTGAAAACTATTGGCAAAAAATTTGAGAGGTAATTCTCATCACCAGAATAATGGTATAAGTTGCTATGATAGTTTTTCAAAAAAACTCAGTATTAATGTCAATGTTGATACATTTTGGTAATAAACTGTGTCTATGAAGAAAAAATCAGCAGGATTTGAACATGAAACTATGTTGTGATTAAACAATTTCTGAGCTGGTTACCGTTGAAATTTTTTTAGAAAAAGAGGTTAATGTTTCTTGAAACATCAAGAAGTTCCAACTGGCAAGATGGCAACTAGCCTGGAAACTGCTACGGAAGCCTTTAAAGCTAAAATTATGTGTTATATAAATTGTAAGCATTTAAATCAATCTAATTATCTTTACTTAATTGAATAAATTATAATAAACTATAAAATTTAAAAATAATAGTTTACTTACTGGGATTTGAAAGAAAAAGTTGTTGAATATAATGTAACAAAACTTTTCTAATCATTATTTAATTGCGCTCTATAAAGCCCTCCATACACCTGCAAACAAATTGCGCAACTGAGGCTGTTGTGCAAACAATTGTATAGTGTATGGTGTTGTTTGAGGTGTTGTGCAACTAGTTGCAAAATTTGAAACTTTGAAATTAATTGCACGAGTGGTGTTGCGCAACTGTCGCAACTCGCGACATATTGTGCAATCACTTTAGTTGTTTTCAAGTGTGATAACAGGTTCTTTTTGTATAAATGGTGATACCATTTCTAGTAATTAATCAAAAGTTTTGGGGTCTATTCGCAAATAATTTTTATAGTCAAGTAGTGAACTTAATTGAAGTTCTTTAAGGAGATATGCGTGGCTAAAAACCGATCTTTTCATTAACCACTCTTTCATCCAGGCTCTTTGCTTCCTTTTTCTTTTTTTTTTGACACCAACATCTGACGCAGTAGAAAGTATTATAGCTAAAAGATGCGTCGCGAGATGCCATTAAAACAAGACAAAAGCAACTGGAGTTTGCAAAAAAATGTGTATAGTGTATGGCAGATCTTGTTTGCACAACAGCCTGTTGTACATCGTACGTTTGCACAATTTGTTTATAGGTGTATGGGGAGCCTAAGATTTCAGAATTTTAATGTCTTGTTTTCGTGGGTGCATTTTATTATCAATAATAAGTATAGCAAACTTGAAAAAATCGTTTATATAAAATAAAAAAGGAACAAAATTTAATTAAAAAAATTAAAAAATAACGTGAGGTTATGTAATATTGAGTTTTTGAAAAAAATGTCAGAAAGTGGTACCTTTATTTTTATTAGCAGGATCACCTCCTAAATTTTTTGCAAATGGTTTTCGCACTCTCTGTATTTGTACATTTGAGATAAGAGAGAAGGAAGCAACTGATGATTTAAAACATATTTTTAATTTAAAAAAAAATTTAAGAAGTCGCTGGTGTGGCAGCCAGCCGGTTTTTACGGTTTGAATTTTTTGTTCGAAACTGCTGAAATTTATTTAAATTTCATTTAAATGTAACCCAAAAATTAAATGAATAAACAAATTATTTATCAATAGATGATATATATGCTCTACAAAAATTGTTAAAAGTTGTTTCCATGTGCTAATAAATATGCTGCCAAACTTTTTTTTGCATCTAAACGACATTCACTGAAAAACTCAGTTATTTAAGAAACATCCTATATTAGAAAGCTAATGTTTGATTTTAGCAAAAGTTTGGGAAAAAGTTTTGGCTTTAAGTTATGAGGATAATGCCATATCTGATTTAGTAATAAAGCCTACTTGTTTGGGAGAAAGACATGATCCTGATCTGTCAGCATCTATTCAAAATATTCATGTTGGTAATTTACATTTAGGACAAGTCTTTAGAGCTTTGTGTCGGGGACTTTTAGAAAACTTACACAGGTAAATATATATATATGACTATCCAAAATAAATAAGTTTGACGATAAATATTTATGATTATAGTATGATGCCTAGAGAAGTTTTACAAAATGCAAAAATAAGTCGTATTGTCGGCAATGGTTCAGGTTTATCAAGAAACAAAGTGCTACAGAAAGAGGTCCAACATTTATATCAGTTACCTTTAGTTTTTACCAAGGGAGGAGATGCTGCTAAAGGAGCAGCTTTAGCTGTTGTTCTAGATTGAAAATAAATGGTTATAGGAAAATTTTAATTTATATAAATGTAGTAGAAGTATTAATTTGTGCATAGCGGGCTAAACACAAGTAATATCTGTAATTGTTAAAACTGCCAAATAGTAAGTGAGGTTATTTAGTAAAAGCTTAAATTTAGTTTTAAGGTGGGATCTACTATATCTATGTAGTAAATCTAATTTTATTTATTTAAAAAATTACAAAAATGTTTTAGCATATCTATTTAAACACTTTCAGTTGACTAACAGAACAACCTCATCTATTAATTCTTGTTAATAAATAATAAATACAGGGTATCCACTTATGTGTGACATTTTCAGTACGAGTTTAAAGATAAGTATAGTAGAAACATAAATATTCATTTCGCCTCTTCAATTAAAATTATATTACTATTATATTATGACACAAACCAGAAAAACGAAAATGTTTTTGAGACTGAGGATGTGGAAGGGATGGAATAAGTTAATGAATGTCTCCCATGTTTTGCACAAACGGCAGATGAAGGGATCAGATAAAAATTTTTTTATTTTTCCTCAGATGGGTAAAGCATCCAGGATCGTCAGTAAATACAATGAATTCTTATAATACACAGTTTGTAAGAACAGGTGTTTTCAGAAAATGGTTTCCATATAAAGAAAAATTAAGAAATTCTGGAAATAACTCAAATTATATTTAATAAACTTGGACGTAACTTTAAGCGAGGGTCATTTTTTTAGAGGTAATAATATGTGTTTTGCCGAATACACTTGGGTGGTGTGAAATTTGCGTTTTAATAACCTTTCCTTTAAATTAACATTGACAACAATGCATAGCCCAGTTCCCAACTGTGCATGTGCTGTGTCTAATGCCTGCCGTTGTTTGAGGTCACACTAGTTTTGTCTAGCGGCGGGGTATGAAAAATTACTAAAAAAAAAAGTTAAAAAGAAAATTTTCACAACTAATTTGAAAAATTAAACTATTGATACGTGTTTCTAAAGGTCAAAGGTAGCTTCTGTATAAATATGACCCCCACTCAAAGTTACATCCTGTATAGCAAGCATTTTTTTATCAAGTTTTCTCTGACAAAGACACATTTTGATATAAAAATTTCGTTCCTAATATCAGCATTCTCTGTCTAACTCTATGGAGAATGTAGAATTATGTGATTTAATGTTACTATTCATTGTTGTTAAAAAATCAATTTGGACTAAAGGCCAATTTACATTAGACCAATAGAGAAGTAAGTGATCTTTGATTTGGATAAGTACAGTAGGACCTCGGTTAACTGACACGATTACCCAATTCATTATCTGACCTTTTTTATAATCATTAGACTCCCATCTTTCAGCATGAGATCTGTCCTTAACTTATCGATCCAACTATGTAAGAATCTGGATTTGACCAGTCCCGTTGGGGACAGACAAATGAGGTTCTTCTATAGATATATACGCAAGTTTAGTTCTAGTGAAATTAACAATATTGTATAGTTCTTCCGAAGTCAGTTGAACATGCATAAAAAAACGAGCAATCAAATTTAATGAGTCATGGGCGTCCCTAAAAAAGTTTTCTGCTAAAGGTAGAAAATTATAATAATTTGTATATAATGTGTAGAAAATTTCTATTATACGTTCATTTGACCAACAACATATTTTAATTATTTATGTCCTCAAACAATTTTATTATATTGATGGTAAATTTCGTTTTGTTCCATTTCAAAAGGTCTCCAAAATGCCTTTGTAATAATATTAGTAAACCAAATACCCCTCTTATTTTTTCCTTTCGCAATTGTAATATGAATGATTAATAGAAGGGTGGCTATAATAAATTAAAATTATTTGAATCACACCAAATTCCGCATTACCGCACTGCACTGCTAGGCGACTAGTCGACAACTGAATTTTATGGCACAATGGACCAGAGAAACAGTGAACATTGCTCTTTGCACGCACGCTCATTCTTCAACTGAGCATATACATTTCTACCACCTGCTCTTTTCGTTCGACCAGATCTGTATATGGGCATGGCTAAATAAATGTGGGAACAAGTTTTTCAAATGTTTCAATGCCGAGTTGCTGCTTAGCGTCCGAGCCTGATACATACCTTGAAGATATTGGTTCTTCAATTGACTTCGGAAAAACTATAACATGGATCTTAAATGTGTGGAAAACAAACAGGGTTATACTAGCTGAACTTTCGAGAATATTAAAGTAAGAGATCACTAAAGAGACTGTGGGTTCAAAACTGGATAAAAAAAAATTCCCGAGGGAGTTTTGCAGTTGAAAGAACTTTACTTGGAAAATACAACAGAATGCAGGTCATGTTTGAGAATGTCACCAGAAAGCTTTGAATAAGTCCTGAACTTCAAGGGACAGATAGTTTCATGTGTGATGCTATAGCAGCTCAAGTTACACTTTGTACTACGATTCAATTGTTTAACAATTTTAATAGATTGTTTTTTTGCAGCTGTTCAAAAAATATTTCACTATTTCTGCATTGCAACAAATCAAAGAAGCTAGCAAGTAAATAAATTTGAAGGGAGGGGGAAAGTAGGTCAGGCAAAAAAAAATAATAAATTTCTACTTACTTACTTGATTGTCCTACTTGCTTACTGGGCACACTTAGATAAGGTGCATAAAGATGACTGTGGAATCGGCCAATGATAATCGTCCAGTATGCAAGTATGAACTGATTTTGCAAAAATTCGGTTGATTTTAAAATCTGTGTCCACTATATTCCAAATTTTTCTTATTGTGATTCATGACTCGGATGGTTACAAAGTCCTCTGTATCCGCCTAGCATTACTTGCTTCGCTTCTCTACTGGCTTCATGTAAACCAGCCTTAATGGTTTTTGAGATATTTTGAAATACACTATAAATTTATTTACTTTGAGTATAAATCATTTACCTGATATATAGAAAAGTGAATGGTCACCAAAATCACCAGATACCAGTACAACTAACTTTTTTTATAGAGATTCTTTAAATTGAAAGTGAAACATAATATTTGGAGTGGATTTTGCCATCATGACAATGTACTTTTGTTGCAAATTTTCATAGAAGTTTTCTAAAAAATGTTTTGAAGATGTAGAAAATATACTTTATTTTTGCCAGTGGTCAATCGATGTTTTACCTTATGACAGATGATCAATCTTAGACCATTTTAAACAAGGTGTCAGTCAAAAATTGGTGTAGTTGTTAGTTGTAAAGAGCATTGAAATTAGGGATGAAATGTTAATTTAAATCAAGGTGTGCAACGATGAAATCAAAATTTGAGATTATGAGTAATTTTAATTTTTTTATAATGCATATATATGCATACACAAGAGAACTATTATAGACTGGAATCTCGAGGAGTGGTGGCATGCACACTTAATCAAACGACTGCAGTACCAAAACATTTTTAAGATGAAGTAAACCAGCTTTCTACATTTTTGGAGGGTATAGCTTTATTCTGTTTGATAGGTAATATTATAACGTTATCGAGTTAGACTTTTGCAATCAGTACGCAGGGTAGGTATATCTTATACTTTCAGCTTGAATAATAAAAGATGGAAAACTAAGGGCTTTCAATTCTTTTTATCCAAATTTTGTAAATCTAATATTTAATAATTTATGAGTAAACAACCAAGATAAAATTCAAAGAGAAGCACAAATTCTAAAATGACATCACATGACATGTAGTCAACAGACGTCAAAAGTGACGTAATTATAGTGATCTGTACAATATTCAAGCAGTTAATCCTAAAAATGTTGTAGGTCATTACAGCAGCTTCCTGCCTACCCAGTAAGTAGTCTATAATAATTCTTTTGTTTATGTGTATATTTGTGTTCGAATGGGATACAGCGCTTTGATAAATTTTTCTTGATAAAAATGTTTGCTTATCTTTGTGATACGATGAATAGTGGTTACATTTGTGATAAAATATAGTGTAAAAAATATTACAAAATGTCAAATTTGTCTTGAAAAAAGTACCCGAAAACTTTATCAAAGTCTTTCAAAGCTGAATCAATACAGACTTTAAATAAAAAACAATGGAAATCACTCTTCTGTAAAAAAAATATACATCCTTCTTTTCTAACCTTAAAGATAAATAAAAAATAAAGAAAAAGATAATTTAGTTTTTAAATACAGGGTATGGCAGGGCATTGTTGTTAAAAAAAAAAAGAAAATGTGAACTCAATCAATTTTGGACTAAATTTTTATTTTTTTTCTAAAGGTTACATAAACAATGTCATTAAAGATAACACAATGAAAGGAGATGAGAAATGTAATTCAGGTTTAAAAAATGATATCCATATAGCGACTGTTCTTGACCAAGGTATTCTTGGAAATGTGTGATAAAGTTGTCCATGCACCTTTCAAGCCTCTCATATTTCTTTTAAACAATATGCTATATGTAACAGTTTCACAACGAAACTCCAATTATTATAACGGGTGTTCCGATATTAATGCAACAAAATTTGGTCACCAAATTTAGGGGACCCATATTTTTTATTTTTACCAAGTGACCCCCTCCTTTGGAGTTACAGCTGCCTGAAATCTGCCCCTGAGAATAGTTTCTTTTATATCTCAGATCCCTGCTGTACGAGAATCACTAAATTTGGTACACAGGAGTTTCACGACGTGAAATCTAATAGTGCTATGCTTTTTGGAGGAGAACCCCCCTAAGACACTTTTTTGTGAGCCCCCTTTGTCTTTAGAGCCAAAAAAATTTTTGTCGCATATTTGAATTTCTTAAAAATTATTAGTCCGCTAAAAAGCTAGAATTTAGAAACTTTTTTCTCTAAATTTTTTTCGTAAAACGCAATGTTTTCGAGAAAAATGGCAAAATATGATCGAATGCATATCATGATTTGTATTAAATTCTACATGTGGCTAGCGTTGATATTGGCGATGGAGATTTTTCAAATTTCAATCAATTTCAATTCAAATATGTGACCAAATTTTTTAGGCTCAAGACAAAGGGGGCTCACGAAAAAGTGTCTTAAGGGGGTTAGCACTATCATTTTTCACATGTCATAAAACCTCTATGCACCAAATTTAGTGATTCTCGTACAATAGAATAATGATCAAATTTTGTTACATTAATTTTGGGACACCCGGTATATCACAATGATTATGGGCCTCTAAGTTAAAGTTCTTCTGTAGTTAAAACTCTTTCTGCAGTAACAGGCTTGGATGGGGATTTCAACTAAATAAGAAATAATATTTAATTAAACATGTATATTTATTTTTCGGTTGTCTTGAATAAAAATATGTTAGGGCTGAGACTAAATTCAATGTTTTTCTTTCAAGACAGAAAACCTAATAATAAATATTAATCATTAAAAGGTTTTTCTATAATGGCGAATAATACTCATTGAAGATCAGGTAGGCTATATACCGTCCTAACGAGACTCGAAATTTGACTGAATATTGCTTATTTTGTTTAGACTCAACCTTGACTTTTGACTATATTGATTATATTTATTTTAGTAAATGTTTGCCAAAGTAATCTCCAAATGTAATGTTTCTTTTAAAAAGACCCACACACATGTTTTTTATGCAAAATGAATTATTTTCTTTGCACAATTTGTGGACAAAAAAGTTATCTGATAACAACTACTTGGGATCCTTTGTGAAACAGGACTTTATTAATCAATCAATTCTTTAAATGTCTATAAATATTTTAGGTAGGAGTTTTTTTGTCCACAACTGCACGTTTCTTTTAACTTAATGTTGAAGGAAATAATTAACTCCTTATTAGAAACGGGCTCTTTATAAATTGTGAGTAATGAAAAAAATTCTTTAATGTGAAGTTCGCAACTATAATTTTTATCTGTGAGAAAGTTTAACTATTACTAAAAGTCTTCCTGTTTTGACACTTATCTAACATTTTTTCTTGCGCTAGTAGTATACCAAAAAAATTAAACTCTTATGAAACA